TAATTTTTAAGAATATTTAGATCATGGAAATTAAGTATCAAAATATTAGATAACTTAAAAAACCTGAATTATTAGTAAATAAACATTTTCTAACAAAAAGTGCTAAGTAGAAAAAAAGAAAAATGCACAAAGAACTTGTATGGAGATTTTTCCATCAACAGATTTTTCCCTGACCTTTGCTCTGTAAACTAAGGGTGCACACTATTGCTGAAAAACACAATCCCTACTTAGCAGTCAGATGTCCGTATGCACAAAGGCACAGATCCCTAAACAAGGCCATATCTTCAGATGAAACTTTTTTTGTAGAAGCATTTTTTAAATTTGAACTAGCACCTCATGACTAGACCACGTTATTTACAAGAAGCTGCAAAAGACACAGGCACAAGTGGAATGCAAAAAACATGGTGACTTTAATTTTTATGTAAATATAATGTGCGATATATTGCGTCACCAAAAATTATTGAGGTCATGTACATATATTGCGCGATAAGTCGATATATTGATTATTGCGACAGGCCTAATTATAACCAATCGCACATGATTCTGTTGAGCTTATGAATGCAATGACCAATCAGAGGCGTTCAGATGAGTCATCGCTGAAACGCCGGTGTTTTGTTCAGTGCGTGCGCTCGCTGACTGTATTCTGCTCTCTGGTGAATTTTCTCATGAGAAACAACAAAGTGTAGATGTGCATACGAATGTAAGATATTCATTTCACAGTGTAAACAGTTTCAGTGATTATAATGGGAGTTTTGAGAGTTTGAACTCTGGCTAGACTGAAGTCTGTGATAATGTTTTTGATAATGTAAATTAGGGCTGGGTTTTGACACAAATTTCAAGATTCGATTCGATTCTCATTCACAAGCTTGCGATTCGATTCGATTACCAATTCGATTCGATTCAATATCGATTATTTTGGATATATATATCAGGTACAGTATAGGCTACATGCCAAATTTTCAAACTAATGCTGTAAAATATACATGAGAGTCAGTTGGTACTACATTACTATAATATTGAAGGTTAATGATTTGTTACTGATTTGTTAAAATTACACTTAATGAAGTTTTTTAAATAATAAAGTTAGAATTACATAATAATATTTCTACTTCAATTCATTTTTTTATATAAACCTAATGGTGGCTGTCATAAAAACTTGATGGATTTATTCATACATAAATTAAACATTGAAGAACAGTAAAATTTATAATGAATATGTTATATGGTGCATATATTTAGCAAAATGCCCCTCTCTACAGTTTATTTTTCTAGCTGACTAATGAGTTTATGGTCACCGAATATGTTTTTCTGAGGTAAATGTGACGTTACATGTCATTGTTTACAAGACGTTATATTGACGTATTTGTGCAGCTGAAACACTGAGCGATTACATGAGACTTTTCCGTAAAAATGAGAATCAATTAATATCGAGATATCTATATTTTTTACCCAGCCCTAATGTAAATGTTCTTTCCTCTCTTTCTGTACCATGAAAGTGTTATAATTAGTAACTTACAATGTTTTTATTCCATTAGCCTATAGATCAACTAACATAATCTATAAAGGTGCAAAATATATTTACTTACACATATTTGAGAATCGAGATATTTCATGATATAGTTAACACATTTGGGAATATTTCAAATAAAAAGGAAAAAATAAATAAAACATAAACTTATATCAGTTATACAGTGCTATTGTGGCTGCTGTGTGTCACATGACAAGCATGACGCCACTGACACTACAATACAAAATCATTTGTCAGATAAATGAAACATGATGAAACATTCATTTGAGTTTAAATTGTTATAGCTTACTTGTAGAGATTGCAGTGATAAATGACATGGTGAAAAATGACCGACAAGTGGCCCCTGCCTGGCCCCCCAGTTACAGTGGTCTAGAACCGCCACTGAAAGGAAGGGTTTAGAGAGACTGAATCTTAGAACTGCTTCAAACAAATCGTTGGAAAATGAGGCAATATTAAATGCATATTTTGAGAAAACAAATGCGTTTTTTTGACCTTGCATGCATGTAAACCTATTGTAGGAGACTCCCAAAACAATATTAGGGACCTTAAAAATGGCATAATAGGGGCACTTTAAAGGGACAGTTCTCATAAAAATGTACAGTACCATTCAAACTTTTTGAAAATTTCAAAATTCTTGTATGCTTATCTAAGTGGCATTTAATTTTATGAAAAATATAGTTTAAAAAAACAGTAATATTGTGAAATATTACAATTTAAAATAATGTTTTGTATTTTAATATATTTTAAAATGTAATACATTTTAAAAAGCAGCATTTATTTGTAAAATTTAAATATATTTTTTAACATTATAAATGTCTTTACCGTCACTTTTGATCAATTTATTGTATCCCTGCTGAATAAAATTGATTTCTGAAAAAAATAAACCATACTAACTACAAATAATGTTTAACTTTACTGTAAATTCTGTCATCCTTATCTCATCCTCATGCCTGTAAATTACTTGAATTATATATACAGCTACAATATGACCTCAAAAGACCTGAAAACATAACAAACAAGATATTTGGACCACCTTTCAAGATAAGATATTCGGACCAAAAACTTCAGTCCCTATTAATTGTAATTTTATGGAAAAGAGCGACCAGCGCGTTCTTCAAATTTTCCCATTTTGTGTTCCACACAAAAATGAAAGTCATAGATTTGAAAAAACATGAGGGTAAGAAAATGAATTTCATCAGTTTCATTTTTGGGTTAACCATCCCTTTAACTACTACTTATGTTTTCCGTTTCTACCAAGGTTGTGTCATTGATGTCTCTTCTTCAAGCTATCCCACTTTTCCATCGCTTTTTTTAAATTCGTGCCTCTCTCTTCTCCCCTAACATTCCTTCTACGTCCATCTTTTATTCATACTTGGCCTTCATGCTTCCCTCACTCTGTGGTTAATGTGATCTGAGCCAGTATCTCTAGACACAGATTGCAGTATCTGTGAGCACAACCATGTCCATACGTCTCCCACCCTAACCAGCTCTTGCTCAATCTCTTTGGTCCATGTGGTTTGAACCCCAATCAAGAGACTCAATCATTCATTTCTGAACTTGCAGATTAAGCTCCAAGGCAAAAAGCCGCTGTCCAGTGGTCTCAAAGCTTTGGATACAGAATGGATTTAGTTGCATGTACAAGACAATGCCAAGATGCTGTCTTCATTAACAAAGCAGGGCTTAAAATGCTCTTTAGTAAAGATGTACCTACATTAATGTTGGAGACTGTGTGTGCATTTTGCCTGGTTTGTACATTTCATATTAGGGTTTCATAAACATAAAAAGCAAAAAAAAAAAAAAAAAAGCCAGCACTTTTATCTTGCTTTCCAGTAAGATACCTCCTTAACACAAGATGCATTTACTTGAAAACAAAAATTGTCTAAGATAATAAGAATTTTACTGTAATTTCAATTTGTACTGTATTTTTTTATACATACATATATACTTAAAACAAAGAAAAACAACGTCAGTGGGGTTATTTTAGATATATGTTACTGGAAAACAAGACAAAAACATGGATTAAAAAAAATGTATAACTCACTATTTGTACTTTCTGAATGTTCTGAATGAGGTTTCTGAAAAACCTCAAACCAAAAAAATGTTTGCTGCTGTTAGAACGGGAAGGTGTAAATAATTCCATGTTTAAACATTCAAGTATCACTGAATGAACAGAAGTTCTACAAAACTTCAGACTCTTGAATGAATTCATTGATGATGTACTAGTTAATGTTTAAATGGTGGCTAATTCCAGTCCATGAGTCTCATTAAAACTGATTATTAGTCATGCATAAATTCATTTAGTACATCTTGCACTGTGTCTAGGGTTAGGCAATAGAGAAGAGTGAGGTACTCTGATAATGCTTAAAAGGTGTAGAGGATATTATTTCTTACCTTTGTACTCCACAATTTTACAGTCCAGTCAAAAGAAGAGGTGACAAAGAGGTGGGAGAAATCGACAGGACCCACAGCACTGTGACAACTGATGCCTGTCACTGGCCCCTGATGGCCCTCAAACATCTCACAGATGCCTGCTTTACTGTGGAGCAACACAAAAAGGAAACAACTCAAAGGTATCAAATAATAACAACAGTTTTGATATTCTTAATAAAATATTGAAAGACATTCAATTAAAATGATCAAAAGTGACAGTATTAAGACATTTACAAAATTACTAATTTCTTTCTAATAAATTTCTGCCCTTTTGTACTTTATATTCATCAAAGAATCCTGAAAAAATATTCCACATACTCTGGTTTCCACAAAACTTTTAAGCAGCACAACTTTTTTCACATTGATAATAAGAAGAAATGTTTCTTGAGCACCAGATCAGCATATTAACATGATTTCTGAAGGATCTTACAAAAAATATTACCGTGGCTCATTAAAAAATATTACCCATGGATAAAGTGCACGGCACCACCGGAAAGACAATACAATTTTGGTCAGACCTTGTTGTGACTTCATTGGATCTTTTGAGATCGTAATTTATACATGTACTCATCTGTATTTTGTTTTGGTCATGAGTTTTATCTTTTCGGTCACATAATTTATATATTTTTTGTAATTTTATATATATATTCTTTTTTACCTTTTTTTTTTTTTATCTCCTCATCTTATGATTCTGAGTGGATCTTGGGTTTGATTTTAAATAATTAAAATGTGTTATAAATAAGGAATAAAATTTTTTTTTTTATCAGAAGCCAACAACAAAGTTTAAAATGCTTGTTTTGATTGACAGGTGAGTAGGCAGTTCAGGATGGACATCACTACAAATTAGATAAAAAAATATGACCACATGCATTTCCGACTACCTCTGAATGGTTTGGACCCCAGTTATACTTTATTTATCTCTGACCTTGTAATGTGGTGTTTGGGTTTTGTTTCATGTTCATGTTTTCATGTCTTTTATTTTGTAATTGTTTCACCCTGTTGTGGATTTTGGATTTCACCTTGTTTGAATAAACTGCACTTGGGTTCCTCACTACGCTCGCCTTCAGTGGGCTGAATCGTTACAGACCTCTTCTGATCGGATCACCCAAAGCACTTCTAAGTGTCTAACGGTTATCATGGACAGTCTGTCAAATGTATGCATGTATGTGCCAGTCACCTGCCATGTCTGGATGCTGTATACACTGTTCCCTCCTCACTGCCAACAATGTAATTATTGACGTCTCCAGTGGGGAAGGCCATCCCAGTCACAGCCACCGGCTTAGACTTGTTATAAACAAGCTCCATGCTCTCCTACAACAGACACACATGGATTGAGCAAGAAGACTTTTATACAGACGTGATGGATGCTGGAGTAATATCAGCACTGACCTGAGGCTGTGACAGCATATCCAGGTTCCAGGAGCACATCCGGCCATCTGTGGACACTGTGATCAGGTTGTTGGCGTTCTGAGTGCCAACCACATTGACGCAGTAAACAGGGTGCTTTGAGAAAAATACATTTACAGTATGTCACCTACAATTGTCTGACAAATATGAGAAATTCAAGAAAGTGTTATACATGGAGAGCAAACATCTATGAATGGTCCCTTAATGAAAGCTATGAACTGAATGTCTATATAGAGACAATACCTAGCTTGTGAACTAACCTGGCCTGAGCATCTGCCCGTCTGCAAATACAGTCAACTGTGTAAATCCATTATGTCGTTATTGTCGACAATTTGATTTTTGTTTTTTGACCAACAATGGGCTCTTTCAGACGGGCCGGTGGACTGGTGAGACGGCAGTCGAGACATAGGCTTTCATTATTGAGGGCACGGGAGTTTAAACCCTCAGCATGTATGGCATTCAGGGGCCATGTGTGTGGCAGCTGAGAACAATAAGGGTCTATGGACGTCCCTTTCCTCTGCTACTAGGCTGTACTGTCTTTATTGCATGACAAGGAGTTAGATGGGGCTCATTGAGCCTGACTGTGCTGACAGACTGAGTCTAGCCCTGTGTAGACAGTGGGCGGCCTTTTGCACAGAGGGAAGATGAGGTCAGGAAAACGTTGAGGGGTTGATTGCTACCAGCATCATGTAATAGCCTGATTGTCCGGTTAAAGGGATAGTTCACCCAAAATGAAAATTCTGTCATCATTTACTCACCCTCATGTTGTTCCAAACCTGTATGATTTTCTTTGTTCTTTTTAAGAATGTTTATGCTGCTCTCTTCCATACAATAAAAGTAAATGGAAATCAAAATAGACAAAAAAGCACCACAAAAGTGTTTAATATAGTAGTACAATTTAGCATACTTAAAAAAAAAAAAAGAGTACTTATGATGTAAATAATATACTTTAAAGGAATGTAGTTAAGTGTGAACTGAATGTAATGGTTTTTAGACTCTAAAATGCATTAGCTGCAAATAAATTAAAATGTAAATTTATATTAAATGAAATTTGTTGAACTTAAGAGTGCTTTTTGATCCACTTACTATAAATAAGATTTAAGCACATCTTTATATGTAATTTTATAATTTTTGGTAAAAGTGCATTGCCGAATATACTGTCAAGCAGTAAAATGTGTATTTAAATGCATTTAAATTTATTTGTAACTGGACATTTGTAATGATGAAGCTGCAATTTAGTACATTTAAAATATTACATTTAAATCTTTAACTGTAAAATTGTATAACACATGATTATAAAAGTATAATCGAGTACTTTACACATGCTTTAGTATGTTTATTAAAAAAATCAAACTACAAAATGTATTAATGTACTTTAAAGTGAACCTTTAATTTGACAATTATTAAGTGCAATTTTTAAGTGTACTTAAGTGTGTTAAAAAATGAAAGTACATTTAAGAGGCCTTTTATTTAATTAATTATCTGCAAGGACAGTTTTTTTTTAAATATACATTTAAGACTTGAAATACACTACAACTGAACATTCAGTACAATTAAGCAAACTTTTTCACATGAAATGACGCTTTGAGCTTTGGGTAGGAAACAGACTAAGATTTAAGTTGTTACTCACCGAAAATCATGCTTGACAGTCATAGTCACCGTTCACTTTCATTGTATGTAAAAGAGTGGCTTGGGTAAAATCCTTTTGTTTTCCACAGAATAAGACTCTTTGAAAACACTTAACTGAATTCATGATGGAGTGTAATTGATGACTGTATCTGTAGGTTCTCTTACTGTGTGTGCTGCAGCGGACAGGGGGGTCCTCTGAACCGGCGTTCTTCGGTGACTTCGGTTGTCCCAGAGAACAATCTGCCCCGAGTATGTGCCACCCACCAAAAGGTTAGGATGAAACCGAGCAAAACCCACCGACACCACTGGAGACTGGAAAAGAGATGACAAAACAAAATCTTTAGGACAAAAGATGGAGATGAAGACTATGTTAAGGATTGTGGGGGCAGCAGTTTTATATTACAGCATCATAAACAGAGTGCAGTAGAGCGAAAAGTGCAGCCTTTTGTTGTGACAGCCTTAGTCTTGAACTTTCCCTCTGTCTTTTATTGAGACTTACATAAAACGTGCCCTCATGCTTACATATTTTCACACCAAATTCTCTGTAGCACCCTTACTAAGCACTTTTACAATTATCTCAGGAGACCAATTACTGAGAAGCAAGGAGACAATGATATTTTGTTTTACTTGCAAAACTGGCCTTTTCGTCGTGGTGTGACAGCAGCAGGACAGAAGTGTAAAAGGCATGTTTTCATAGCGCTCTCCAGTCATCTGTGAAGCAAAAACTACGACTGTCTCCCATCGCACACCACACCATCTGCGGCCTTCTCGTCATGCACCCAGAGTTCATTTTAAAGTGACTGGAAAACAAACCAGAGAAAAAGAAAACAAGCTTCTCTTTTCTTTCATTCGTCCCCCCTCTAAAAAAATACAGCTTCTAAGAGGGTTTGGGAGCAACCTCATATTTTTTTATGAGGTTTTTTAAAAGGACTCAAAATAAACTAAGTTGGAGGGGTAAAAATAAAGGCAAGTTGAGTTTATTTACACTGAGGACACGCAGGCCAATCTGGTTTTAAGTTTAAACGCATTAAGACAAAAAGTGTTTGATGGTTGGACTGGAGATTATTTGGAAAGTTTAGAAATACATATGACTGATTGTGTGATTGACTGCGGCCTGACAGAGAAATACTACATAAATATCAAGAACCGGTTCTTATTTAGAAATTATTCCATTCATTTATATACAGAAATCGAATGATGTTGTGTTTCATTATTGGTTGTTGCAATTGCAATTGCTATTGCAACACTGCTATTGACTCTACAGGGTAAAACATATAGTACTCATTCTGCGATCAATGTAGTTTGATTCCCGAATGACTCTCATAAGCCTTTTCTGAATGAAAACCATGCAGTCTGAAGTGAGAAGTTCGATTCCTAAACAAATTACTCGAGTCAGTTTTTTTTAGTGAATCAAAACCACGCACCATGAAGTGAGTAGTCAGATTCCCGAGCAAATAACTCTTATGAGTCAGTTCTTTTTAGTGAATCAAAACCAAACAGTGCAACAAGGGTTTTCCGAATCCAACCAATTCGCTAACAAATAACTCTTTTGAGACAATTCTTTTTGGTGAATCAAAGCCATACAGCATAAAGTGAGTAGTCTGATTCCCAAATGAATGACTCTTTTGAGGATGTTCTTTATAGTGAATCAAAGTCATACAACACACCCAGGGTGATCAAAATGATTTGCAAACAAATGATTCTGATGTGCAGGTTCTTTTTGGTGAATCAAAACCATACAGTGCAACCAGTGTATTCCAACCAATTCACGAATAAATGACTCTTATCATTTGGTTCTTTTTAGTGAATCAAACACATACAGCTAACGACTTGTGAGTTCTTTAATCAGTGGTATTTTATAAAAACAATAGAATAAATTAAATGTTACCACATTTTTTGTTTGTTCGGTACTATTTAATACAGTTAAAGCCAATAATTGGTTTGCACTTACTGTATGCCACATTTAAAAAAGACTATGAATACTGAATAAATAAATAGTCAGGAAAAATTCACTAGCTTTACATTTCTTGTGATTCCCACCCTTAACTACAGTGTTATTGTAGAAAATAAAATGGAAAGCAGATACTTTCAAGGCACTAAACCACCTGCAATAATACAATCACTGGACATCAAAAGCCAACATTTCAGTTAATAAATTGATTAGTATCTTTTAAGAGGTTGAAAAGTTTCACTCAAGTCTTGATTAGTCTGATTACCATACTGCTGGAAAAGGATCTCAGTTCTGTGATTAATGATCGGTCAGTTCTGAATACTAACACAGAGACAGGGGAACATTGCTGCTTAAATACACGGCTATTTCAATCAGAGCCACAAGACGACCCCTGAACTAAGTCTCTTTCTCTCCCTCTCCTATAGTCATGTGTCAGGGACACACTCCCCAGACCAGCGCCTTATTACTGGGCTAATGAACATGAGCTGGGGTCACCACAACAAGAGGGTAATAACTCCACTATGAAGCCATTAATCAGAGACTTAATGAAGTATCGTAACCTGAAACTTCAGCTCAGGAGAGCAATCCAGCCAACAGCCAATCACAGCCATCTCTGGCCTCTATCCGCACACCGCAGGCCTCTGTTTTTATCTAGTCGTCTACTGTGGTATCATCACTGTGTCCTGCAGCAACCTTTGATGACTCGATCTGTCCGCTTTCTCTTCTTAAACTTAAGATTAATTCTTTAGCTTAACAGTTTACTAGTTTACTTTTGATTGGATAAGCTTTTAAGTACCCGATTTGTGTGAATGTACCTGTTCAAAGAAAAAAGGTATTCATAATGTCTGACAGTTTCTTGTTGCCAAAATTATGTGAAAATCACAAAAATACATTAGGACCTTTCGACAAATTCAAAAATGGCAAAAATTGATTGAACTTTGAGCACTGAATGACAACGATGACTAGAGTAATGCTGTAGTCATAGCTTACTTCATAAAGTTCAATGCATTGGACAGTGTTGGCACAATGTGAATGGGCCTTTAATCATTAATAACATGTCATAGGGCAATCTCAGTTTATAAAACATCTGATGTATACTTCCCTCATTACCGTAACCACATAAATCCAGAGAGACCTTTTGCTCCATAACGAAGCGCAGATAAATATGACAAGTATTTGAACTCTTTTTAAAGTCATAATCTAAACAAGGCAAAGGCACAAGACACTGAGAGGAAAAGGGATGAAAAGGCTGTATATTCACACCATATGGAGAGCGTTGGTTAAGATCTGTCTATCTTCAACGTCTGGACCCTGAAACTACCTCCTTAGTTTTACTGGAAGCCATAAACACCATTATTTGAGCAAGCTTTTGCTACTGGAATTAGCTCACTTTGTCTCAATAGACTGGTTGGCTGTGATCTTTTCAGCCATTTTCAGATTCAGACCTGCTCAAACTGGCACCTAAGTATAAGAACAAATTGCACTATTCCACCATTTCGACAATGCAGTCATTTCACTGATTTAAAGGGGTCATATGACGTTGCTAAAAATAACATTATTTTGTGTATTTGGTGTAATGCAATGTGTTTATGCGGTTTAAGGTAAAAAAAAAAAACACATACTTTTTGCCCCGCCTTTCTGAAACACGTCGATTTTTACAAAGCTCATCGTTCTGAAAAGCGTGGTGTGCTCTGATTGGCCAGCTATCCAGTGCGTTATGATTGGCCGAATACCTCAAACGTGTGACAGAAATGTGACGCCTCTTACCATACTGTGATGCCGTGTCCCGGCGCGACGAGACAAAACCAATAAAACCCATTACAAACGAGGCATTTGTTGCATCCAGTCTTTTTACGTGTTGCATAGCGCCGCGTAAACATAAAACCATGTCTGCATTTGTGATCAGAGAAATGACAAACAACAA